GGCGAGCGGGCGGCGGGCCGGGGCTGGAGAAGTTTGCGCGGCGGCTCGTGAGCGCAGGGTGCGGGCCCGGCCGGCCGCTGCGCGCCCGCTGCCATGGCTTTCCGCAGGAGGACGAAAAGTTACCCGCTCTTCAGCCAGGAGTTCGTCATCCACAACCATGCGGACATCGGCTTCTGCCTGGTGCTCTGCGTCCTCATCGGGCTGATGTTCGAGGTGAGCGGGGCTGGGGAGGGGAGAGCCCCCCCGCGCGCTTCGCGCCGCACACCCCTGCAGGTCCCCGGGGGCCTCGTCTGAGCCGGGGCGCCCGGCTGCCCTGGACGTTAGCTGCACGCCCGGCTTTGTGCACTGTACCCCTTTGGCCTCCTGGTCAGCCCAGACACTGCCCCCCAGCTCCTCGCCCTGCCAGCCGGGCCCCGCTCTGCCGCCCCCTTGGGCACCCGCCGTCTCCTGCAGCTCGCTCTCTCTGCAGCCTTGAAGTCCCAGCCTGGCCTCGAACCAACCGCAGCGCTGCCACTCTGGCCTGACGACTGGGGTTTCCTTTCTGGTGTCCGGGAGCCAAGCCCGGAGACTCCCAGACCCGCAGTCATTTCACAACTCCCCCTCCCAAGCGGTGGCTGCCAGCTCTTCTGGGCTTTTACAGTGGGAGGGACCCCTACCCTTTCCACCTCCCGCCGGGCTGTCTGGGCCTTTTGCATCCTCAGCTCTGGACCGTGCTGGGGTGTTCACGTGTGGCCCCGGCCGGTCCCAGCAGTGCTCTTTGGCCGTCCTCCTACCTCACTTTTTTTTTTTTTTCCGCTCCTGCCCAGAAGGCCAGTTTTCATATCCCGTTTATCACTCTGTGGACTGTCCCTTGAGAGCCCTGTGTGGTGGGCGCAGAGCTTCTCCTGGGTAGAGGGGCAAGGAGAGGGACAGGGATACCCTCTGCTTTTAGAAGAAAGGTGATTCTCTCATCGCCTGGGGGTGGAGGGAGAGCGTGGGGTCTCCCCGACAGCACTGCTGGTGTGGGCCTCACAGAACAGGGGGTCATGGTCCAAGGAGGCTGATGGGAAGGACTCTCTCCTCTGGAGAGCCAGCGACAAGATGTGATGTTCAAAGTGGGAAGAACTGGAGGCAACTGGGTATAGGGCTTGCTGTGGTATATCTTGTCTCAAAAGTGAGATAGGTGAGTAACACTCCCCTCATTCTCAGCTGGTCCGCTGGGAGGCAACGCCTTGTCCTCCGTCTGGTAGGACTGCTTATCTGCATTCTCAGGGATGGGATAGGAAGCTGTAACTATTTATGAACTGCCTTGGGGATGGAAGAGTCTTAGCCTGGCTAATGTCTCCTTTTTGTGTCCCTCTGTCTGTGGGTCCCCTGTCTCCTCTCTATGGATGACAAGGGTCCTCCTTGGCTGGTGAAGCTGCCCTCAAGCTGGCGACATTCTTGCGGTGGCCCGGTCAGAGTTGGATGTGTGAATGTGTCCTCAGCTGGGCTTCAGGGTCTGTAGGAAATAAACCTGAGCCTAGGAGTGGGGTCGCACTGCACCTTTTGGGAGTGCCCCTTTACTTCACTCCCTCCTCCTTCCTCAAACCTGGGCAGCTCTCATGGTGGGTTTGAAAGGGCAGGGTCTGCCCTGTGTCCCAGGCCTTGCTCTGTCACTAGTCTGATGAAAAACCTGACTGCAGCCTCAGTTTCCCCATCGTTAAAGAGGTTAGTAAAACCTGTCTTCTCCACAGGGTTATTGTAAGGTTTAACTAAGATCGTGTAAGCAACAAAAGCCATAACCGATTCCACAAATGTCGCCTACTCCTGAAGCCCTGTAATTATTTATTATCATAGTAGCTTAGCGAAATAGGAGAGTGTTTTTTTTTGTCCAGCTAATACCCTCAGTATCTATTTGCTGTCCTCCGTTCTAAGAGGCCTCCCAGTGCCGTGTCACCAGTCTGGGAGGGTGTGGTTGGAAAGACACACGTGACAGCTGTAGACCTCGTAGCCACACGCTCGCAGCCAGCGAAGTCTCTTTTACAGCCTTATGGCTGTCTCTGCTGTGTTTCTGTCATTTGTTAAGGTTTGTGGCTCTACCTGCTTTATCTTTGCTCAAAAAGAGCTGCCTAGTGTTTGAGCTGGGTCCCTTCTTCCCTCCCTCCCTCCCTCCAGTCTGGTGGAAAGTCCTATGCATTAAACTTGGCACATGATGGGAGTTGAAAAGTGCTTGGAGCCCTTACTCCCAGTACCTGACAGAAGAGAAAGGCCCAGGTGGAAAACAACTATGACCAAAACAACTGCCCTCCTCTCTGCCCCCTCCTGGGATTGGGCTCTGAGTGAAGAAAGGGACCTGGCTGGAATGCCTGCAGGCTCCCTCTTCCCCAACCCCTTCCTGTAGAACCATCGGCCTGAGGTGTCTGCGCTTGCGGGAGGTTGTCTCCTTCTCTCCGAGTTGCGTGGAAGGCATGTTGTGGGGTTGTCGGTGTGTGCTGGTCTGGGAGAGAGGGCCGTGCCCAGACCTTCCTTATGAAGGACACATGCTCTGCTGTGCCAGGCACATAGTAGGTCCTCCTGGTCTCTGCCTACCAACTGACTCTCCACAGAGATAGGCATTTTGGGGGAACTCAGGTTTTTGGAACTCTGGCCTGCCTACCAGATGAGAGCAGAAACAGCTAAGTTACTTCTAGGGACCTCAGAGCAACACATGTGGGCATCTTCACATTTGGAGGAAAGCCGGGGGTGGAGTGGCTTCATAACCCAGCGCAGGACTTTCTAGATGTGAGTTGGGGCCTTCTGGATTCTCCCTGGGGGTGTGGTGTGTTTGTGTGTGTATGGAGCGCTGCTATGGGGGGGCAGCCCTGCACTTAGCACACATTTTCCTAGAAGTGAGGACAGAAGGAGGGGAGGGAAGGGGAGACAAGGAGAGAGGCCGGCAGGCTCTTGCGTTTCTAACTTGGGCAGGGCGAGGATTCCTTCATTCAGAAGCTGAGTCAGGCTCAGTTATAATTCTTCCCACAAAGAGCCACTCTCCTGGCCACTCCGCCCTCCGGGGTCCCCCCTGCACAGCCTCTGCCAATGAGCTGGGCCCCTCTCCCCCGACCCCAAGCAGCCACAGCCCTCGCATCCTAACTAGTCTCCGTCTCATCCCAGCTGTGCCCCTTCCTCAAGTCGCTAGTCAGCTGGCCAGTGTTCAGAGGGGCTTTCGTTCCCCTCTGGGGGACCCCAGGACTTCACTTCTGTCCCCTGGGAGATGAGGACTCCAAATTCCTTCCCTTGGGATCACTTCCTTTTGGGAACACACATGAAAGGGTGCGCCTCCCTCCTCCTCTTGGTTTAGTTTTGGGCCATCCTAAGATTCCTTCTCCCATTTCCAAGGCAGGGGGCTGATTCTTCCCCCTGGACCCAGGTTTTCTTTCCGTCTTGCAGACTGTTTGGAATAGAGCTGTTCTGTGCAGCCACAGCACTTGGCTAAAAAATCTCAGGAATGTGGAGCTTTATTTTCCCCCTCCTTCCCTTCCAGCTTTCTCTTTCTTAACTCTGCTTTCCAGAGCTGGTGCAAGGGAGAGTTTCTCCTCCACAGTTTGAGCCTTCAGTGCTGTCTTAGGTGGAGTCCGGCCTGCCTTCCTTCAGGGTGTGGGCGGCCAGTTGAGGTGTGTGTCAGATTTGAAAGCAGCCTTCCGACCCTCCCCTCTCGCTTCGCTCTCCAGTGTCCCGTTCAGTGCCACGTTTCAAACTGAAATGGGCAGGGGAAGAGGAAAACTCGCATTAGCGAACAGAGAGTGAGGAAAAGGGGGAGCATCGAACTGAGAGAAGCAATTATACATTACCTCTGAAATGTCATTTCGAGACAGAAACTTTTTTGTTTGTTTTAAAGCTCACTGCGGGCTCTGCTGGCTCTACAGCGAGGAAATGTTTCTAAAATTCTGGGCCCGTCGTTCGTAGGTTTGGTTTCTGTTTGGTCTGTGATGACTTATGGGTTTAGGACCCAGAGGAGTTTTTGGGTAGTGGCTGGTTTTTGCTTTTTAATTGTTTTGGAGGCAGATATGGTAGAGCTGCCTATTCTCCAGGAATTACCTTCTTCCCTGTTCCTGGCTCTGTGATTGACTTGTCAGGATGATGTGTTGGCAGCATATACAATGGGAGCCCCGTGCGTCACAGCCTGTTAGTACTTGGGTTCCGTGGCACCAGTTCACATCCTCCCAGACTTACCTGTAGCACCATCATAACCTGAAGGGAAGCTGCTGGTCCTGCCTCTTAATATTAGCATTACAAACAGTTCTGCTTAGATTGTGTTGATACAAAGAGGTATGTAACTGGCACAGATATGCATCTGCGGACATAGGTCGTCTTTCTTTGACTAACTTCTAATGCGCTTTTGAAACATTCTTTTACCAGCTTTTACAGTTCCTGGCTTTATGCATCTGCCTCTCCAGCCTCTGACATGGTTCATCAGTTCTAGAGAAATTAGTCAGGGGAAACCGAGAAGGGTCACTTAGTCCCTTGGGTGCCCTTGTTCTGTGGTTGGATTTCTACACACGTTGCTCAGTGATCTGACGACAGAGCAGAAATTTGGAGCTGGTTTTTCTCCTGGTCAAGCCTCCAGCATAACCCTATCCTGTGGGGTGTAAGGGTACCTCTGTTATCCCTGTTCCTTGCCTTGGCAAAAATGTGGTTTCCAGAAAGGTGGCATTGATCAGTTAGTGAGTTTTAACACTAACTGCAGGATAAAGACTGATCCCTGTAGAAATGCCCCGCACTGTGCCTGGCACACAGGTGCTTGATCAATGTTCTCAACAATCACACCGAGGACTACCATTGCTGGTGTCATTGTAGGGCCTGTGAGGATGCCTTCACCGTCAGACCAGCTCGTTGGGCACCCCGGCTGTACTTTCTTATAGACGTGACGTGTTTCACGATGAGACCTCTGCCCAGGTTCCCCAGTGCTGGCTGTCTGCTCCCCAAAGGGGAGCATTCTTCTACACTGAGCCCCTCTTTCCCTGGGCAGCTGCTCGACGGAGAGCATCTGTTTTCTCCCTGACATCCATCTTATTAGGACACAGGCCATGGGGACTGGGGAGTCAGTGCTGCCGTGTCAGCTGTGTGGAGGAGTGAATGGCCCCGCAAGCTAAGTAGGTGCCACTTTTCTCTCGCTCCCTCTGATGCTGAACGCTCAGTCTGCCGTTTCTCGGGGGCACTGTTCACACCCTTCACAACAGAGTGCCTCAGTCCTGGCTGTTTGCAGAGTAACA